AGTGCCTGCCTAGACATAGCGCCATATCTTCTGTCTTATAACTGTTGATACTAGTGGTTGCCAAGACATAGCACCATCTCTTGTGTCTTATAACTGTTGATACTAGTGGTTGCCCAGACATAGCACCATATCTTCTGTCTTATAACTGTTGATACTAGTGGTTGCCCAGACATAGCGCCATCTCTTATGTCTTATAACGTTGATACTAGTTGTTGCCCAGACATAGCGCCATCTCGTCTGTCTTATAATTGTTGATACTAGTGGTTGCCCAGACATAGCAACATATCTTATGTCTTATAACTGTTGATACTAGTGCCTGCCTAGACATAGCGCTATCTCCTTTGTCTTAAAACTGTTGATACTAGTGCCTGCCCATAGTGATTTCTCTTATTTCTTTAGCCCTGTTAAACTTATCACATTTTATGTTTACCATTTCCCCCAGGCATTTCTACCTGATTACATGGAGCAGCATTAAAAATAGGGAGAGAAAATAGAGACAAATTCAGAATCAGATCAGGGGGAATTGGAATGAGTGCTCAACCTGCACAACGTGGCAAGAGTCTGTGGAGATGATTTGAAAAAGAAATTGATGTGTCTCTTCTTCTTCACTTCCTCCCATTCTCTTTATCAAAGTGTTTGAAGATGTAAGGGTTTTCTGCGTGCTCTTCATAATGCTCTGAATAAGCTGATCTTCATTTCGGCTAGGTTGTTTTTGATTCCGTCGTTCCGTAGGGCGGCGGTCTTCCCTCTTGCTTTGTGTTAATACTTTTCTTCAGCGTGGCACTTGGTACCAAGGCATTTTCCTCAAATTCATTCATTTATTCAGTAGTAGCATGTCCCTCGCGGAACCTCGTTGCCATAACAACCCTCCGGAAAACCTCCCTATCATGAGCAAGATGTCCTGCGTCTGATACACCCATCTGGAGATCATCTGCCACATCCTGCACCCATCTTCTCCTTGGCCTTCCTCTTCCTCTCTTCCCAGGCATATACCCCTCCATTATTGTTCTCTCCAGACTTCCATGACGCTTCAAGTGACCAAAATATTTCAATTTTCTTTGCTTTTATTGTCTTTACTAGCCAACCCTCTTCAATATTTCAGCTCTTGAAGTATGGATGCATTTGTTCTTTTTTTTACCAAGATATTCTTAGAACCTGTACTGTAACATTTATATTCAAATGCATTTATGCGCTGTTCCGCTTGTTTAGTAAGTGTCAGGTCTCACAGGCGTATGTTGCAAATGGGAAAAGATGCATGCTCTTAAAAATCTGACCTTTGTAATTCTATCTGTACAATTCCATAATTTATTCAGTTGTTTTAGTCTTTGAAGAGCAATTGATAGTCGCCCGTTTAATTTCTTTCATTGTGTCACCATTGTTGGTAACCAGTGACCCAAGATATTCGAAATTTTCCACCACTTCCAATCTTTCCTCATTAACATATATTTCCTTCTTCATGGCAGTTTTGTTTGTATGCATTATCTTTGTTTTGCTATGTTAAGAAATAAATTATGATTTTCACTATTTCTTTGGAGTGAGGTTAATAAAGTTTCTAAACCATTTTGTGATGTTGATAGTAATACTGTATCATCAGCATAACGAATTTCTGGTATTTCATGACCACCGATGTTAGGGCATCATATTGTTCCTTGTTTATATCAACTCTTACATTTCTCATTATATTTTCGGCGTACAGGTTGACACAAATACGGTGACAGCACACACATCCCTGACGGACTCCTTGCTTGATGCCAAACCAGTCTGATGTCTCTCCATCTATTCTGACTGGCTGCTTGTTGGTCTTGATAGAGCATTTTAATGAGCTGCGCTGTATGTGATGGAAAGCCCATATTCCTCATGATTTCCCAAAGCTTCTGATGTTGTACACAGTCACATGCTTTGATAATCCACAAAACATAAGAACAGATTTTACATTAAATTCTCTACACTTCTCTATTATTAAACGCATGTTGAATATATGATCTCTTGTTCCTCTTCCCTGTCTAAATCCAGCCTGAGCTACGTTAATCTCTTCTTCCATTTTCTTATGCAGTCTTCTTATTATAATTTTTAGTAGAATTTCACTTGCATGACTGATCAGGGCAATAGTTCGATAGTTTGTACATAATTTCAGGTCACCCTTTTTTGGTATTGGAATGAAGATAGTTCTCTTCCAGTCTTTTGGCCAAATACCATATTTCCATATCTTTTCACATAATGCATGATAGATTTTTATGCTTTCTTCTCCTCCCGCTTTAATCAATTCAGCTGGTATCTCATCACATCCAGGTGATTTACCATTTGTCAGGCTCCTTATTGCACATGAAATTTCATCCAATGAAGGTTCAGGTTCTGCCTCTACTGTTACTGGTTCATGTATATCATTCATATCCTCACTGTCATTCATATCATACATTCCGCTGCAGTATTCCTGCCATCTTCCTAGAATTTGTCTAGATTCTGTTAAAGTATTTCCCAACTTGTCACAAATAACATTTAACTGAGGTTGAAAATTTCTTGTCAATAACTTCATTTCCTTGAACATTTCGTAATCTCTTCCATTTTTATGATGCTGCTCTATTTTAATACAGCAATCTTGTACATACTGATTTTTATCCTTTCTTGTGTACTTTCTTATTTCTCGTGTTTAAAGATTTATACTTCATCCTACTGTCATTGGTTTCTCCTTTCTTTTTTTCAGTTCCCTTCGTTGTTTTATTAGTTCTAACGTAACGTGTAGTGTGTGATCCATGGTTTAAGTTGCTTAGTCCTGGTGGGTATTAAGTCTTTAGCTGCTGTTATCAAGATATCCCTAGCTTGTACCGCCAGTTCATCAGGTGTCATTTCCTCTTGTACAGACATCAAGACCTCAAAACGGTTCTTCACTTCTACGTTGTATGCATCTGGTTTTCCTCAAATGGCTCTGTTAAATCTGAACACTGGACAGTTAGCAGTGATGACGTGACGTTTTCATGTTAATAAATAGAACAACACTTCTCCTGTACAGCCACAAGTGATAAACAACAGGGGTGTCTGTAGCTGAGCTAGCATAAAGCAATTATATTACTGAACTGTAATTTTTTTGGTTGTTGCGTATCCTTTACAGGACGTTGCAGAACCAACTCTAACAGCCCCTGGCTGTTGTGTGGTTTCTCTAGGCAGTTTACATCCAGTAGTTTGCCATTGCTTACTGGACGGTCGGCTTTCTTGATACCACTGTCGAAACCAGCGCAAGGCGCATTACCCGCAGCTGGGATCGAACCTGGCATCCCGGCATTACGAAGCGAAGCGTTCGCATCGACTTAGCCACAGAGCCGAACATAGCAAACTACTGGACGTAAATTGGCCTAGAATAAACCACAACAGTCAAAAAAGGCTGGGGTTGGTTTTGCAACGTCCTGTAAAGGATACGCATCTAACTAACTTCTGCGACCGCATTATGGCAGCGTGCTTGGAAAATAAGAGCAAGTTCTCTGGCGGGCCTGTAGGCTCGACAAGCCTGGTCTAGCCAGCAAAACTGTACGCGTGAGGAGTTGCCGCTCTGCATCTTCCTCTTGTTCTTGATGCATCATGATGGTGTTTGCAGTTCGGCTGTGGTAACTGCGCTAGTGAGGCCAACATATCCGATTTCTGGTAATCCACAACTAGTCGCCTTTTTCGACATGCTTGTTAACGATGCAGTAGGAGCCCTCTCGGCCCCTTCTTTACCCTACACACACACACACACAGGCTCACACTCTCACACACACATACACATACACACACACGCATATACAGACACAGACTTACACTCACAAACATACACACTCACACACACACGCACCCACTTACACACACCCACTCTAATGCTTATACACACACTCACACACTCACATGAACACACGAAATGATGCCACAGAATCCCCAACTAGGAGAAGCTCTGCATCTAAGCTTTTTCATCTTCTTCTCTTCCACCTTGTACCTCATCAAAGTGTCGGGGGGGGGGGGGGGGGGGGATGTAATGATCGTTGATGAGCTCTGTCAAGAGCACTATTAAGACTGATGTTTATTTCATTAAGGCTGTTTTTAATGGCATCACTCTATGTTTTCCGAGGTCTTCCACATGCTCTATACCCGTTGTAACGTTTTAGTGTGGCTCGCTGTGGCAGATAGCACCAGGGCATTATTGTTAGGCGTTTAAACCACTTTATTTGTTGTTCTTTGATGACCTGTAAGACTGGCTTTATTCCTAGCACCCCCCCCCCCCCCCCCCCCCCCCCCCCCCGCCCCCCCCCCCCCCCCCCCCCCCCCCCCCCCCCCCCCCCCCACCCCACACCCCCCCCCCCCCCCCCCCCCCCCCTATTATCCTTATCAAAGTGTTTGAAGATGTGAGGATTTTCTGCGTGCTCTTCATAATGCTCTGAATAAGCTGATCTTCCTTTCGGCTAGGTTGTTTTTTATTCCGTCGTTCCGTAGGGCGGCGGTCTTCCTTCTTCCTTTGTGTTCATGCTTTTCTTCAGCGTGGCACTTGGTAACAAGATGTTTCCTTGAAATTCCTGCAGCTCTTCTAAGGCATTTCATCTCTGTTGTCACAATTTTACGTTCATTGGAATATGTAAGTGTCCACGTTTGGCATTGATAGTATAGTGTTGGCCAAAAAATAGTTCTGATAAGATTCACTGTAGCATTCTGAGGTATCTGCTTGTGTGTCAACAGGGAAGATAGTTGCCCCATTACTTGATTAGCTTTGGCACATATGGAGCTAGCATCTAAGCTAGGTACGTATTAAACTGGGACCCCAAGCTGAAACCTGGACTGGGCAGGGATAGTACTTAACACCAGAACATAGTTATTTTAAACATCAATACCAAACCACTAAAGCGGTGTGTGGAATGCAAACAAGCTGCAAAGATCTTATAACTCTTATTTCTCTGTAAATCAAATCCAGAACAGTTAGTGCTCTATACAGAAAACAACAAGCTGAGAATACAGACAAAATACAGACATTGCTATTTCACAACATGCCTTCACCAACAAGTTCCGGTGACCTTGGCTTTGAGAGTAATGCTGACGGTTCTATGGTGTTTAGTGAAGACATGGAGCAGGGGTCATTTCATGTCAAGGTTCAAGGTGATAGACAGGTGAAGGACTACTTGAAGCTTCCTGAAGACGATGCTTCCAGCTTGCTGAAGACGTTCTGCAGACACACGACAGCCCACGGTTTTAGGTGTGCTGCCAGTCGCGAGAGAAGCAGGACGTTTAGGTGAGGTTTTACTGTGTATGTTGATGAGAGAGGGTGTGTGTTCTTGATGTTTACAAATGATGCAGTTATTAATCTGTTAATGTTAAATGGGTCGGCATCTGTGGCAGACCTGGAAATTAGGATCGGAATTGCAACAACAACAACAACAACAACAACAACAACAACAACAACAAAAAGAGAGAGAGACGCATACAAGACACACCAAAAGACTTGTTAATCAACTTAGAACTTGTACTATTATCCATCGGACGTTGGGATTCATATTGATGGGAGGATCTGAGCACATATGGACATGTCTGAAGTGCAATGATGAAAACCTAACTAACTAACTAACTAATTGTTCAAGGGAAGGCTCTGATATATTGATTTTCTTCTTCTTAACGTTCACTAACTGTAAACTGCAATTCCGACAGACAGGTTCTACATGTTCTTTCAGTTCCTTCTACATGTTCTTTCAGTTCTTAAATCTGTTCTTGGTCCAGAACTTAAGTTTGCGCGGACATCAGTTTTAAGCTTCGGTCTTTTTGTGTGCGCTGGATCTGGGTCCTCGCCTTTCAGGCAGATGCACTTCCACTTGGAAGGAAATATCTCTAGTTATCTCATTTTACAATATACTGGATAGAAGGCAGTGGGGTAATTAATATCCCCCCCCCCCCCCCAATCCTCGTTACATGATGGGTCCAGGTACCGACACAAGGACTGAAGAGAGAGAGAGAGAGAGAGAGAGAGAGAGAGAGAGAGAGAGAGAGAGAGGGAGTAAAAAGAAGAAGTAGGAAGAGAACGGATACATAGAGACAGCCTAAAATATACATATAAATAGAATGAGTGAGAGAGAGGGAGAGAAAGAGAGAGAGAGACGCAGTCAAACACAGAAAGAGACAGACGGAGTGAGGTACGGACAAGCGAAGAAAGAGGAGGATAACAGACAGACCGAGAGAAAGAGTGATATAAACAGACAGACTGGCAGAGACAGAGAGAAAGAGAGAGAGAGAGAGAGAGAGAGAGAGAGAGAGAGAGAGAGAGAGAGAGTATAAATTATTCTGTCTGAAGAATTTATTTTAAATAACTATTTTTAACTACAATTATTGTGTGTTCCAAACGTCGTGTCCAATTTAAAAATCTGCGATCCAGAAACCCTTGGGTGTAATTTGTTGAAATTTAGCTGACAACCTGCTAATAAACATCTCATCGTGGGGAAATAATTATAATGTAAACACTCGTAATTTTTTTGTTTTTAATTTTGTGTGTGTAAATTTTACTTTTTTTTTTTTTTTGTGTAGTGTCTGAAAAAATAAATAATACACCGATTCAAAGCATACATTTAGCATGTTTACATTTAATGGAGAGACGGAACTCGTGGCAAAAATCAAATTACACGAGTTGTAGAGGTCACCCGTGCGAAACACCAAGTGAAGTGGATATGGCAAGCACTGTCATAATTAGATTGATATAACTGTATCTCTCAGTTGTTAGGCATTTCCCAAAAACATTATCTGTGAGTATATTTGCCACGAGTCTGAAAATCAAACTAGCTACACTTCAAAACATCACAATGAAGATGCATAAATATATTTTTTTTTTTCGTTTTTTCTGAGGTCAAAACAGAGAGGACATAGCAATTTTGTTTTTTTTAGGTAAAGGTCATTTCTTTATCAAGACCCGAAGCAGCTGGGAAGAAAACATGAAAGAGCACATTTTGACTTATTCTTTTATGGTGAAAAGGTCATTTCATGGCTGGATGCAAGACTCCGGGGGTAGTCGAAGCAGCATGTTCAGATTTACGGTATTTATCATGGAATCTCAGGTTGCGGATCTATAGCGACAAATGTTTTAGTTTCTTGATTTAACAAAAGAGCAACGATCATGAAGTATTGAAAGCGACATATGGCCACCGTGAGGGTGTCTGGCTTTATCTTTAAAAAGTTTGCTGGCAAAAGAAACCTAATTTGCAAGAAGCCAGACATACTTACCATGAAAGTACGTGATCACGTGAATTCAAAGAGTTGCACGAAATGATTCTGATGTCGTGTACATTGATGAAATATGGATCAGTGCTCATCACACAAGCTACAATGTGTGGTAGGTATTAGATGGAAACAATACAAGATTTATTTTGTGTTATGTTATCGCAGTCGACACCACTGCACATTAGAGTTTCCCATGCGGACTCAGTCCTCCGATGCAGCAGCCACCCCAAAGTACTTCTACTAATCGTTTACAGCAGAGGTTGGCTATAATGTCTCCTGTATCGGCCTAGAAAACCGCATTGAGGTGCTTCGCCGTGCTTTACTCCCATGTCATGCAAGCGTGTTAGTTTAAGAAATTCGTCATTATCGACTAGGCCAATTTCGAACAGCATTGATGGCATCTGCTCTGTCCATGCTTCTTCGCACATGCGTTTATGCATTGCTTGCCAGGTGGTCTTCTCGTTTATTACCATTTAGCACAGCATGACCAGGTGTGTAGATCTAGGTGAAGGAGGTAAAGTGTGATTTTTGAATGCCTCCGACCCAGTCAGATAGCATACCGCCTGTTGCTATTTTCTTAAGCATATGGATGGAGTTTGATATAATTACACAATGTGTGACTCTTTCATCTGCTGCACATGCTGGTGCTCTAGAAGAAGCGGCTATCTCTATGGTCATGCTTGACTTAGTTGCCTGGTAAGCGCCGCTGTCCACATTTAGTGTTTACCCCATCCTTTGTGTGCTTGCCAATGCTGACCTTGATCCCCGCTTCACTGATCCATCTGTGCATATGAATGATAATGTCTTCTGGGTATGAATGCTGATCTGTCAGTGCAATTACCTTAGTGTACGGCTGCAGTACCCACTCAGTGTGATTACAAACCCTGGAGATGCCATGCATGTCTCCTGCTGTATTCTGCGATTCTTTTCCGTGACTAATCTCGTCTAGGTCACATATCTGCTGGATTAAATCTTCAGCTTTGGTCAAACGGGAGCGGCCTATGGATCACATAACGGAAATGATTTAGGACATGAATTACCGTATATCATTTTTTAGGGGTGCCTAAACTGTTATCTGGCAGAGATAAAAGAAACTTTATTGGTGGGGGGGGGGGAGGGGGGGGGGGTACCAGAAAGAAAATAGTTGCACCTGTGTAAAGTAAAAAAACGTTGTGATTGGCAAGGGCCGCAACTCCTAAATATTAGATGCATCTGTATTGGACGTTAAATCCCCTAGGCGAGTTGAAGCCCACTAGATAGATAAGGCGGTTCTGAACAGACTTAGTTACGCTGTCAGTGGGGTGGCTATGAGGCTGTGAGACATCATATTCCCGATACACCACTAGCGAAAACAGGGTCCTTTACTCTACTGTTAATTCAATTCATCCTGATGCTTCTATAACAGATGTCTGTGGACGCTAGCGACTCTAGTGGCGAGTGCTGCTCTGTCTGGAGCTCTCTTGGAGTTATGGTGTAACTACCATTGCTATCCCGTGAAGACAGTGGTCGACCTGAAATACTTAAGTCAGTTGCCCTTCCCCGCAGTCACTCTGTGCAATCTCCAGTCTTTTAACTGCAGGTGGGTTGTTGGTAATATTCAAGGGCAATTTTCGATAATGATGATAATAATGGTGATACTTATATTAAAGATCTATGCAAGCATGACATGAATGATACAGGTATTGAGGTAGACCCATAGAACCCAAATGCCAAGGACAGTGTTGTGTGGGAAGAGCATATCAGGAAGGGAGTGGGAGTGAAGGAAGAAATGATTGCAGAAAGGATGAGAGCTGAGCATCTGAAAAGAAATGGATTAAACACAAATGTTGAAAACAATGATCCTGAAATTCCATGCTATCATTGTGGAAGACTTTTCTTGACTTTAGCGGGTCTTGCTAGTCATACTCGCCATCGCCATGTGCTGTGAGTCTCATGCCTCCTCATAGCGCAATATAACACTATCGTATGAAAGACGGAAAGGTGCCAATCAATAATAGCAGTGTATGTGTGTGTGTGCGCGCGCGCGTGTCTGTGTGTGTAAGGATGATATTGAGAATGACTGTCACTACTATCTGTGTGTAGCACTTTTTGGGCCGTGTAGACAGGAGGTATTGACCCTCAGGATTTAGTTTCGCATGGCTACTGTTGTCGCCACGGTCTGTTGCAGATTGAGATAATTAATGTTTGCCATTCCATCACCTTAACGGGAGCTGAACCAGCAGTTCCTTGACCTGAAGCTGAAAGGCAATACGGGTATACAGAAAAAGAAGATGATAATGATTTAGATCATGATGACTAAACACCATAAATAAAGCATGCTGAATTGTTCTGTTTTATGTACTTGTGGTCCTAATATTGCGAATCTAACATTATGCTAGGAAGGCGGACATGTTGCCAGACGTGGTGGATGGAGGTAGGAAGCTGTGTGAGATTGTTTCCATGTACAACCTCAAGGCGCAGCACGGACCAGGCGAGGGGATGTCAGATCCCCAGTACCAGGACATTCTGGACAAGCCAGCTTCAGAGGTATACCAAGGTCAGTCTCGTCTGATTCTTCTTCTGTTTTCGTCACGCTGTTACTGGAAGGCTGTTGCTCAAAACCGATCTGCACGGCATAGTCCTCAAACGTGTGGAAAAGTGTAAACTAGCAGTGGTGGTTTTCAGCTGGGAAGGGGTGAGGAGGACGCCCCAATGGGGGCACTAGGACATTTCAGAGGCTTCATGGACTCACAGAGCATGTTGAAAAGGGAAAAAACAGGCTAGCTTCGTGCAGAGTGGCAAGCATCACTTCAGAGGTCTCGGGTAGTTAGCATTCTTTGGATATTTTTTCAAGGGATGCCGGTGTGTTCAGAAATAAGCAGCCAGATAGATTAGCCGGCTCTGCACCACTTGGTAGTGAATTGAACGAACGAACGAAACGAAACAATTTTATTTTCAAAGGGTTAAGAATTGGGCACGCAGGCCCGTCTAACATTCTGCCCTTCCACTCTGCTCCTTTCATACAATGTTTCATTTTTACCTCATTTCATAGTTAATAGTAATATAATAATTGATAATAATAATAATTAATAAAAAGAGGAATGCACAATTAAAAATTTGAGAAATATAGAAAAGAAACAAAAGAACAAAAAAGAGAACAAGAAAAAAAAAATAAATATCTAAGTCTTAATTACAAATGCTGGAATGTGCTCTAATTTATACTGACATTACTTGAACGTTTGAAAGAGTATAATAATAAGCCTATTCAACAAATGTAAGTCTTACAGGTTGCATAATATAAACATCATCAAAACCAATTAAATATTAGTTACAAATATTGGAATGCATTCGACTGACATCTTCAGTTTTAACAATAATAAGCTTCAGTTTTCAACCTTCACATCTTCAGTTTTAACAATAATAAGCTTCAGTTTTCAACCACCACCAAGTTCCCCCAACCCCCCCCCCCCCCTCAAGAGAAAAAAACCTTTACCCGCCCCCCCCCCCAAACGTTAATAAGAAATACATCAAAACCTTAACATACTATAATCTTTTTATCTTCTTATGGGGCATATAGTCTGTAGTGAATAATAATCAAATAGTTTCCGATTGTATCTAAAGGGGTTATTGATATTTTTTATTTCCGGTGGAAGATTATTCCACAGCTGAGCTGCAGAGTACGCTAAGCTTGTTTTATATAGGTCTATTCTAGGTTTAGAGATATGCAATATGTTAAGGCGTTGCTATGTCTTCCATTGTTTTATTGAATAATGGCCAAAGGTAACATGGAACATTTTTAGATATGATTTTCTTAATAAGTTTAGCTTTATTGAATAGTAGGCGTTCCCGGAGCGGTAATAGCATGAGTTCTTTTATATAGGTGCGAACAGTCACTTTCATGACATTAGCTATTAAACGACACAGCCCTTCTGTGGCAGTGCTTTCAGCCCGTTTGATGACTGAAATTTGCACATCCATCCCATATTGTGGGCAATAGTCTTATGTGGGTCTGAATATGAGAAGTATAGAATAATTTCCTAGAGTTTTTTATCAGAAAGTTTTTAATTTTTGCTAGTTGGTATACCTTTGTAGCAGTTTGCTTAACAAGTGTTGCACATGGGGTTGAAGGTAAGATTTCCATCGATGATCAGACCTAAAGTTTTGTGCTCAGTTACACTTTCTACTGGTGTGTTACCTAGGTAGAGTTGAAGGGTTCTATGAGAGTTTAAAGTGCACAGTTTTTGTCTTGTTGTTATTAACATAGATTTTGTCTTACTTATGTTGATTTGCATGCGGTTTTGCATAGCTCCAGCTAACTACATTGTTAATTCTTGTTGCAAAGACAAAACTCTAGTATATTACAAGTTCGAGCATTTGAATGGATGGTACAGTCATCCGCGAATAAATCGCACGACGACGACAGACTTAAGGCAGATCGTTTATGTAAATTGCAAATAGAAGGGGGCCAGAATAGAACCCTGAGGAAATCCAGAATTTAAAGTAGTAGTCTGTGATATAGATTTATTATGTGAAAACAACTAGTTTTCTGTTTAATAAAAAAGATGTTAGCATTGTTAATAGGTTGGAACTCACTTTCATTGTTACCAGCTTTTCGATGAAGAATAGTGTGGTCTATCATGTCAAAGGCTTTTTTTGAAGTCTATAAACACTGCACCACATATCTTATCTTCGCATATTTAATATTCTGATGCCAGTTTTCTATCATATTTGTTAAGGCAGTATGACAAGAATATTTTGGTCGAAACCCTGACTGGTTGTCAACAATAAGTTCATTTTGATCTAAATGTTGGAGTATTGTTTTGTGAATGTGCTTTTCTAGTGGTTTGATAGGGATGATAGTAGAGAGATAGGTCTATAGCTACTGGGAATACTACTGTCTATGTCTAGATTTTATATGAGGATAGACTTTGGCAATTTTAAAGGCTGGAGGAAAGTAACCCTTGGCGATGCACTGGTTGTAAATGTAGGTTAATGACGTGCAGATAACTGATGCAGTACAACGAAGGATCCTATTGCTCACACCATCTAGACCTGATGCATTACTGTTTTTTGAGATAAGCGAGATATATTAGAAACGTCATTGACTGACATCAAAGGCATGTCAGTGGGAAAATCTCTGGAGCATTTATTCTCACAAAAATGTTGACAGCATGGATAAATCACATGGATAGCTCGGTATTGTAGCCTTTATCTGCTCTATGTCATCCTGAAAGTAATTGCTGAAATCATCAGATGTTATATTAGATGTTACCACACGTTGTTGAAGTGTTTTTGTTTGTCAGTGTGTTAATTGCCTTCCATATATCCTTACTGTTTCTTTTATCTGATACTAGGTTTCTGAAATAGTTTCTTTTTTTTCCTTTCGAATAACATACTGTACTTTGTTACGCAAACTCCGATATGTGACAAAGTTCTTATCTTTGTGTGCCCTTCTCGTTCATCATAATGTCGACTACTTCCTGTGTGATCCATGGTGATTTAGTCTGATGTTTCACACGGACCTCCTTAACTGGCACATGTTTATCAAAAACCCCAAGGAAAGTCTTTAGCCAATATTCCAGAGCATCATCCGGATCAGGAAGTTGAATAAACATGGTCAAGAGGTGAACTTAGCAAATCTAGTAAAAATGCCTCTTGACTGAAATTTTTTGTAGCTTCTAAATTTTATGCTTAAATGTTTTGTGTTTTGGAATTTTAGTTACCTTTTTTCGACCACGTACAGCAAGACAGGAAAATGATCGGACGTTGCAGTAGTGGGAACCTTGCATTCCACTATATTTACAGGACGTGTTGTATAAATGTGATCTATACGTGTTGAAGATGATTTAGTTACTCTAGTAGGTTGTTTTAACTAGTTGTTGGAGATTGTATGAAGTAACTATATTCTCCCAAGTGTTGTTAGACTTTTGAGTATCGATATTGAAGTCCCCAAGAAGTATGATTTCTTGCCTATAGTAATCACTGCATCCATCATGGCAGTGAAGTTTTTCATACCAAATGTTTCCAGCGCTGGGGGTTGCGATAAAGATAACCAACTAGTAGTGGTTGGTGATTTTTGTAGTTTAAACTCAAGCCAACACATTCTATCTCACTACTTTCTAAGTCTAGCCTGCGGAAACATTAAGTGAACTACATAATTAGACCGCTATACCTGTCTCTTGTTTCTTATGTGATCTCTTCTAATAACACTATAACCATTTATCGATACTCATCATCTGAGATGTAATCATTTAATCGACTTTCAGTAAGACCGAATATCTTGAAATGTTGACTAAGATGAGGAAATTCGGGCAGTTTGTCCATTTAGATGACATATATTAAGATGACCTAATCTAGACCAGCTCTACTGAGCCAGTTTTCAAGTTGGCTGCGACATTTCCAGAAAGCGTAAAGTGCAAACGAGCAGTGCAAATAAAAAAGCACTATGCGAGATAATAACAAGTAAAGGCAGAACAAAAGTAAATGGGGGAAAAAACGCACAAAAAATATTAACGTGCAAGAGAGTAAATGACAGTTAACAATCAATGTCTTAGCAGCTCACAAGTTAAAATAATATAACAAGTATAATAGTAGCTTTATTACACAGTCAATGTTGTATATTTGTGTATGTGTATGTGCGTGTATTTGAAGATTGTAGCCCGAGACTGGTCGAGTGGGTAGCGGAGTACAGGCTAAGAAATACACGAAACGTTCAAAGGTCTGCTCAAAGAAAATTCAGTCATGAAGTAAATACACGAACCGTTTTCAAGAAATACGACTCTTTGTGCGGAGGATTGTATATCTTTAACAGGTCTTTTATTCGACTGGCCTATAATGCAGTGACATCAGGAATGCCTGTTTAAGTAGACCAGGGCTAAACCCGCATCAGATGTAACATATCAGGATTAAAATGAATTAGATATTGTTGTGTTACATGTGTGGTAGCTGTTTTCAATAGCTGACACTCAGATTGTGGTCGGGGGAGGTCTGGCGCAACAGGGAGCGCTAACGGAGGATGGTTGTCTGCTAGGACGAGAAGGAAACATGTCCACAAAGTTATCCTGATGTATGACAAGCTAGGTAATTGTGAGGGCCCCTTGTGAGCGAGGTGGAACAGTGCATGAGCCGCAGGTTAGATCTTCGGTCTGAGGAGAATTGCCGCGCGAGGAGTTATCCAGGGGATCTGGCCCGACGCTCAACGCTCCCAGGGAAAGAATTAGACAGGTATCAAGCAGACAGTAACTGCGCCATTGGAACACTTGAGGGGGGGGGGGGGGGGGGATTGCTGATGAATCTGGGGACGAACACTTATTAGTGTCCCAAGTGCTGTGATGTCATTTCAATTCAACATTCACACTTAAAGGCGCTCATGCATTGTGACGTCGATTCATTTGTACTTGTAATAATCGTTTATACTAAGGTGTATCGCCAAAACAAAAAGCCAATGATATTTGGGACACTTTGACTATGTAGATTTTTTTCTCAAATCGGTTAAGAAAAAAAAAACTAAGAAAACTTGAAAAAAAGAAAAAAAAATGAAAAAACCAAGAAAAAAAAAAGAAGGTAAAAAAGAAAAAGAAAAAGAAAAAATCATCTAATGAAAAAAAGGAAAAAAAATAGGAGAAAAGAAAAAAGAAAGTGGAAACAGATTGCTTGTGGGATCACCACAAACTTCCGCACCCCTTTTCCACAAAAATAATATTAAAAAGAAAAACGACATTATGAAATGAGGCCCCAAGAAAACTGGTAATCTATCTAGGTTCGTTTGGCATAAACAGGTAAGACTGAATACATCGGAAAAAGAGAGGAAACGTTAGTTATAAAAGGGACTGACATACAGCATTAGTTTATTTTCATGAGAACAATCACGTGGTGTGTTAATTGACATAGATTACCGTATCAGTTTGAGGTGTGTGATCGTACACAAACAGTTGATACTAGCTAAGCGTTATGGATAGTAATGGGTGTGTTCACGCGCGCGAACAGCACCTTGGGATTAGAGTGGTGTGATGAAGGTGATAACGTAGAACTCATTTATGAACATTAACTCAAGTTCATAGAACCTCTGACAGCCGTAGAGCACTGTCAAGCTCTTTCCTGATGTTGAGTGTGTGATTGTGACAGATGAGATCTTGATGTTGAGTGTGTGATTGTGACAGGTGAGATCTTGATGTTGAGTGTGTGATTGTGACAGGTGATATCTTGATGTTGAGTGTGTGATTGTGACAGGTAAGATCTTGATGTTAAGTGTGTGATTGTGACAGGTGAGATCTTGATGTTGAGTGTGATTGTGACAGGTGAGATCTTGATGTTGAGTGTGTGATTGTAACAGGTGAGATCTTTATGTTGAGTGTGTGATTGTGACAGGTGAGATCTTTATGTTGAGTGTGTGATTGTGACAGGCGAGATCGTGATGCTGAGTGTGTGATTTTGACAGGTGATATCATAGCGTTGAGTGTGTGATTGTGACAGGTTATATCATAGCGTTGAGTGTGTGATTGTTACACGTGAGATCTTGGTGGAGTTTAGTATTGCAGTTGATTCAGTCTGTGCCTGATAAGCTTAACTATGTCTGGAAATAATCGATGCTGCAATTTGTTGATTTTTTTTTTTTTAAGAGATAATGCACTAGGAAAAGACAGACAAACTTAAACATGATCTTGTCTTTGTTTTATTTGAAGAGATAATGCACTAGGAACAAACAGCCAGACTTAAACATGATCTTGTTTGCAGGAATGGTTCGACCTTCGCCTCAAATGGGAGCCGGCTGAATATGGGGGTGTCAGGGTGCTCAATATTCCCTCAGAGCAACTATGGAGCCCGATGTGGTTTTATACAACAAGTAAGTGAACAGTGTGTTCGTGGGATACCAAGTTGCTCGTTTTTTTTTTTTTTTAGACTGCGAGCTGCGCAAGGTCGCTTTTTTTTCCCATGTGGAGCATCCAGGGTAGATATTTGTCTATGGGACATCTAGGGTAGCCACTAGTCTATGGGACATCCAGGGTAGACACTAGTCTATGGGACATCCAGGGTAGACACTTGTCTATGGGACATCCAGGGTAGACACTAGTCTATGGGACATCCAGGGTAGACACTTCAGCCAAGACGGGAAGCTGCATTAAGGTATCGGTTGTAAAGAAACCCACCGAGGACAGAAATATGGCATTAAGGTATCGGTTGTAAAGAAACCCACCGAGGACAGAAATATGGCATTAAGGTATCGGTTGTAAAGAAACCCACCGAGGACAGAAATATGGCATTAAGGTATCGGTTGTAAAGAAAAACCCACCGAGGACAGAAATATGGCATTAAGGTATCGGTTGTAAAGAAAACCCACCGAGGACAGAAATATGGCATTAAGGTATCGGTTGTAAAGAAACCCACCGAGGACAGAAATATGGCATTAAGGTATCGGTTGTAAAGAAACCCACCGAGGACAGAAATATGGCATTAAGGTATCGGTTGTAAAGAAACCCACCGAGGACAGAAATATGGCATTAAGGTATCGGTTGTAAAGAAACCCACCGAGGACAAATATGGCATTAAGGTATCGGTTGTAAAGAAACCCACCGAGGACAGAAATATGGCATTAAGGTATCGGTTGTAAAGAAACCCACCGAGGACAGAAATATGGCATTAAGGTATCGGTTGTAAAGAAACCCACCGAGGACAGAAATATGGCATTAAGGTATCGGTTGTAAAGAAACCCACCGAGGACAGAAATATGGCATTAAGGTATCGGTTGTAAAGAAACCACCGAGGACAGAAATATGGCATTAAGGTATCGGTTGTAAAGAAACCCACCGAGGACAGAAATATGGCATTAAGGTATCGGTTGTAAAGAAACCCACCGAGGACAGAAATATGGCATTAAGGTATCGGTTGTAAAGAAAACCCACCGAGGACAGAAACATGGCATTAAGGTATCGGTTGTAAAGAAACCCACCGAGGACAGAAATATGGCATTAAGGTATCGGTTGTAAAGAAACCCACCGAGGACAGAAATATGGCATTAAGGTATCGGTTGTGAAGAAACCCACCGAGGACAGAATTATGGCATTAAGGTATCGGTTGTAAAGAAACCCACCGAGGACAGAAATATGGCATTAAGGTATCGGTTGTAAAGAAACCCACCGAGGACAGAAATATGGCATTAAGGTATCGGTTGTAAAGAAACCCACCGAGGACAGAAATATGGCATTAAGGTATCGGTTGTAAAGAAACCCACCGAGGACAGAAATATGGCATTAAGGTATCGGTTGTAAAGAAACCCACCGAGGACAGAAATATGGCATTAAGGTATCGGTTGTAAAGAAACCCACCGAGGACAGAAATATGGCATTAAGGTATCGGTTGTAAAGAAACCCACCGAGGACAGAAATATGGCATTAAGGTATCGGTTGTAAAGAAACCCACCGAGGACAGAAATATGGCATTAAGGTATCGGTTGTAAAGAAACCCACCGAGGACAGAAATATGGCATTAAGGTATCGGTTGTAAAGAAACCCACCGAGGACAGAAATATGGCATTAAGGTATCGGTTGTAAAGAAACCCACCGAGGACAGAAATATGGCATTAAGGTATCGGTTGTAAAGAAACCCACCGAGGACAGAAATATGGCATTAAGGTATCGGTTGTAAAGAAACCCACCGAGGACAGAAATATGGCATTAAGGTATCGGTTGTAAAGAAACCCACCGAGGACAGAAATATGGCATTAAGGTATCGGTTGTAAAGAAACCCACCGAGGACAGAAATATGGCATTAAGGTATCGGTTGTAAAGAAACCCACCGAGGACAGAAATATGGCATTAAGGTATCGGTTGTAAAGAAACCCACCGAGGACAGAAATATGGCATTAAGGTATCGGTTGTAAAGAAACCCACCGAGGACAGAAATATGGCATTAAGGTATCGGTTGTAAAGAAACCCACCGAGGACAGAAATATGGCATTAAGGTATCGGTTGTAAAGAAACCCACCGAGGACAGAAATATGGCATTAAGGTATCGGTTGTAAAGAAACCCACCGAGGACAGAAATATGGCATTAAGGTATCGGTTGTAAAGAAACCCACCGAGGACAGAAATATGGCATTAAGGTATCGGTTGTAAAGAAACCCACCGAGGACAGAAATATGGCATTAAGGTATCGGTTGTAAAGAAACCCACCGAGGACAGAAATATGGCATTAAGGTATCGGTTGTAAAGAAACCCACCGAGGACAGAAATATGGCATTAAGGTATCGGTTGTAAAGAAACCCACCGAGGACAGAAATATGGCATTAAGGTATCGGTTGTAAAGAAACCCACCGAGGACAGAAATATGGCATTAAGGTATCGGTTGTAAAGAAACCCACCGAGGACAGAAATATGGCATTAAGGTATCGGTTGTAAAGAAACCCACCGAGGACAGAAATATGGCATTAAGGTATCGGTTGTAAAGAAACCCACCGAGGACAGAAATATGGCATTAAGGTATCGGTTGTAAAGAAACCCACCGAGGACAGAAATATGGCATTAAGGTATCGGTTGTAAAGAAACCCACCGAGGACAGAAATATGGCATTAAGGTATCGGTTGTAAAGAAACCCACCGAGGACAGAAATATGGCATTAAGGTATCGGTTGTAAAGAAACCCACCGAGGACAGAAATATGGCATTAAGGTATCGGTTGTAAAGAAACCCACCGAGGACAGAAATATGGCATTAAGGTATCGGTTGTAAAGAAACCCACCGAGGACAGAAATATGGCATTAAGGTATCGGTTGTAAAGAAACCCACCGAGGACAGAAATATGGCATTAAGGTATCGGTTGTAAAGAAACCCACCGAGGACAGAAATATGGCATTAAGGTATCGGTTGTAAAGAAACCCACCGAGGACAGAAATATGGCATTAAGGTATCGGTTGTAAAGAAACCCACCGAGGACAGAAATATGGCATTAAGGTATCGGTTGTAAAGAAACCCACCGAGGACAGAAATATGGCATTAAGGTATCGGTTGTAAAGAAACCCACCGAGGACAGAAATATGGCATTAAGGTATCGGTTGTAAAGAAACCCACCGAGGACAGAAATATGGGCATTAAGGTATCGGTTGTAAAGAAACCCACCGAGGACAGAAATATGGCATTAAGGTATCGGTTGTAAAGAAACCCACCGAGGACAGAAATATGGCATTAAGGTATCGGTTGTAAAGAAACCCACCGAGGACAGAAATATGGCATTAAGGTATCGGTTGTAAAGAAACCCACCGAGGACAGAAATATGGCATTAAGGTATCGGTTGTAAAGAAACCCACCGAGGACAGAAATATGGCATTAAGGTATCGGTTGTAAAGAAACCACCACCGAGGACAGAAATATGGCATTAAGGTATCGGTTGTAAAGAAACCCACCGAGGACAGAAATATGGCATTAAGGTATCGGTTGTAAAGAAACCCACCGAGGACAGAAATATGGCATTAAGGTATCGGTTGTAAAGAAACCCACCGAGGACAGAAATATGGCATTAAGGTATCGGTTGTAAAGAAACCCACCGAGGACAGAAATATGGCATTAAGGTATCGGTTGTAAAGAAACCCACCGAGGACAGAAATATGGCATTAAGGTATCGGTTGTAAAGAAACCCACCGAGGACAGAAATATGGCATTAAGGTATCGGTTGTAAAGAAAACCCACCGAGGAGAAACCACCGAGGAATATGGCATTAAGGTATCGGTTGTAAAGAAACCCACCGAGGACAGAAATATGGGCATTAAGGTATCGGTTGTAAAGAAACCCACCGAGGACAGAAATATGGCATTAAGGTATCGGTTGTAAAGAAACCCACCGAGGACAGAAATATGGCATTAAGGTATCGGTTGTAAAGAAACCCACCGAGGACAGAAATATGGCATTAAGGTATCGGTTGTAAAGAAACCCACCGAGGACAGAAATATGGCATTAAGGTATCGGTTGTAAAGAAACCCACCGAGGACAGAAATATGGCATTAAGGTATCGGTTGTAAAGAAACCCACCGAGGACAGAAATATGGCATTAAGGTATCGGTTGTAAAGAAACCCACCGAGGACAGAAATATGGCATTAAGGTATCGGTTGTAAAGAAACCCACCGAGGACAGAAAATATGGCATTAAGGTATCGGTTGTAAAGAAACCCACCGAGGACAGAAATATGGCATTAAGGTATCGGTTGTAAAGAAACCCACCGAGGACAGAAATATGGCATTAAGGTATCGGTTGTAAAGAAACCCACCGAGGACAGAAATATGGCATTAAGGTATCGGTTGTAAAGAAACCCACCGAGGACAGAAATATGGCATTAAGGTATCGGTTGTAAAGAAACCCACCGAGGACAGAAATATGGCATTAAGGTATCGGTTGTAAAGAAACCCACCGAGGACAGAAATATGGCATTAAGGTATCGGTTGTAAAGAAACCCACCGAGGACAGAAATATGGCATTAAGGTATCGGTTGTAAAGAAACCCACCGAGGACAGAAATATGGCATTAGGTATCGGTTGTAAAGAAACCCACCGATCGACAGTATGTAGGTATCGGTTGTAAAGAAACCCACCGAGGACAGAAATATGGCATTAAGGTATCGGTTGTAAAGAAACCCACCGAGGACAGAAATATGAGGCATTAAGGTATCGGTTGTAAAGAAACCCACCGAGGACAGAAATATGGCATTAAGGTATCGGTTGTAAAGAAACCCACCGAGGACAGAAATATGGCATTAAGGTATCGGTTGTAAAGAAACCCACCGAGGACAGAAATATGGCATTAAGGTATCGGTTGTAAAGAAACCCACCGAGGACAGAAATATGGCATTAAGGTATCGGTTGTAAAGAAACCCACCGAGGACAGAAATATGGCATTAAGGTATCGGTTGTAAAGAAACCCACCGAGGACAGAAATATGGGCACTTTGTGAGACTGAACACGAGTCACTACAGTCACACTCTATGGGATTACACAACAACAACACTCAGTGGGATTATAAAACAACAATACTAAAAAGTTACGCAACAACAACAACAAATACAAAGTCAGTATTACCACTCATATATATATTTATATATATGTGTGTGTGTGTGTGTGTGTGTGTGTGTGTGTGTGTGTGACTAAGTATGTGTATAAATGTGCATGTATATATTTATTTGTATGAGTGGTTATGCTGACTTTGAATCGTCAGTTAAATTGCTTGAGTGTGTCATGGAACGGATCAAAATTATGGCACAAGGGTAGTAACTAGGGCTGTACCGAATAGTGATTTTTACTATTCTGCCGAATACGAATAGCTGGACCAACTATTCGGCCGAATACGAATACGAATAGTGAATCATCATCATCAGATGCTTTGCCGACTGGCATGGGCGATTATGCCTCGCCACAATCTGTGATCTCCTGCAGCATGTTTTAGTTCGTGCGCTGACACACCTCCGTGCCATGCAACAAGACTGACAAGAATCTTCTATTGTTGTCTTCCTCTATCCCTCCTTCCACATATCTTTCCAGTGGTCACCACATGTTCCATTTTCCCTCATCTTATAACGTGGCCAAAAAATTATTACTTGTCTTCCCACTATTCAAACTGAGGCCCATTCTTCCACTTCCGTGTATAAAATAGATCTAAAAAAAATATCATTAATGTTAAATGTACGCTGAAATTTTACTTCACAAAATGTAGTAGAGAATAGTAAACATGTAAAAACATTTCATGTTTTGCATCCTTTAATCAGTCAGTCTGTGGTAACTAATACCTAGGAATGAAAGTATGCTTAGTTTTATAACTAGTAACTAAACTTGTAAATTGTCACTGACAGCTTAGTTAATCCATGAAAGCGGCATTAGCTTTCAACAACAACAAAATCGTTCCATGTTGTCAGCATTAAAGCAGCTTCTTGTCTCACTGAAGGTATTTCCAGCTGTACTAAACAGACGTTCATTTGGTACGCTCGTAGGTGGTGCACTAAGATAACGCTTGACAGTGAGAACCATGGTGAGAAATCTTGATATGTTTATTTTTCACCAGTCCAGTAACGGGTGTAAGGTAACCACTATTCATATTCAGCCCGACCGCAACTATTCGGCCGAATACCGAGTAGTTATTGGGTCCACTATTCGGCCCCGAAGCGAATACGAAGCGAATATTCGGTACAGCCCTAGTAGTAACCCATAAGTGCTCTGTTCTACTATTAACTCAAGACAGAGTCCAAAGAATCTCAGCGCAATGCACCAACTCCTTAGCACCGACGAGAATACTGAAATACTTGGATAGATTTTCAACTCCGAACTTTTGTCAGGGCAGCTCAGTGGGGCTACTTTGTTTTTTAACTGCCAAGGATTTTTTAGACGAGCAACAATTTACGGGGGATTCCGGTCTCACTAGCCAGAGACCAGGGGACATCACTAGAGGGCCACGTGAAAAAAATCCCAGCCTTCGCCGGGCCCTGGACCCGAGACCTCCAGCACTCGAGGCGGACACCATGCCCCGAGGCCACGCAGCCCCATGAGTGTGTAGGTATGTGTCTACTGTAGCCTACAGCTGTTTATTTGTGCCTACTGTAGCCTACAGCTGTTTATTTGTGTCTAATGTAGCCTACAGCTGTTTATTTGTGCCTACTGTAGTCTACAGCTGTTTATTTCTGTCTACTGTAGCCAACAGCTGTTTATTTGTGTCTAATGTAGCCTACAGCTGTTTACTTGTGTCTACTGTAATCTACAGCTGTTTATTTCTGTCTACTGTAGCCAACAGCTGTTTACTTGTGTCTACTGTAGTCTACAGTTGTTTACTTGTGTCTACTGTAGCCAACAGCTGTTTACTTGTGTCCACTGTAGTCTACAGCTGTTTACTTGTGTCTACTGTAGTCTACAGCTGTTTACTTGTGTCTACTGTAGTCTACAGCTATTAACTTGTGTCTGCTGTAGCCTACAGCTGTTTACTTGTGTCTACTGTAGCCAACAGCTGTTTACTTGTGTCTACTGTAGCCTACAGCTGTTTATTTGTGTCTACTGTAACCAACAGCTGTTTGGTTGTTTCTATTGTAGTCTACAGCTGTTTACTTGTGTCTACTATAGTCTACAGCTGTTTAACTTGTGTCTACTGTAGTCTACAGCTGTTTATTTGTGTCTGCTGTTTCCTACAACTGTTTACTTGTGTCTACTGTAGTCTACAGCTGTTTACTTGTGTCTACTGTAGCCTACAACTGTTTACCTAAGTCTACTGTAGTCTACAGCTGTTTACTTGTGTCTACTGTAGTCTATAGCTGTTTACTTAAGTCTACTGCAGCCTACAGCTGTTCATTTGTGTCTACTGTAGCCTACAGCTGTTTACTTGTGTCTACTGTAGCCAACAGTTGTTTACTTGTGTCTACTGTAGCCAACAGTTGTTTACTTTTGTCTACTGTAGTCTACAGCTGTTTACTTGTGTCTACTGTAGTCTACAGCTGTTTACTTGTGTCTGCTGTAGCCTACAGCTGTTTACTTGTGTCTACTGTAGTCTACAGCTGTTTACTTGTGTCTACTGTAGCCAGCAGTTGTTTACTTTTGTCTACTGTAGTCTACAGCTGTTTACTTGTGTCTACTGTAGTCTACAGCTGTTTACTTGTCTACTGTAGTCTACAGCTGTTTACTTGTGTCTGCCGGAAGTCTCCGACTGTCTACTTGTCTACTGTAGTCTACAGCTGTTTACTTGTGTCTGCCGGAAGTCTACGACTGTCTACTGTAGTCTACAGCTGTTTACTTTTATGTACATTGCAGGGCCGACGGAGATTTCCAAATCACCTTGAAGACGAAAGCCATCATCTCCCACACGGGCAAGATTGTCTGGGAACCGCCCGCCATTTACAAGAGTTACTGCCCCATTGATGTAGAGTACTTCCCCTTTGATATCCAGGAGTGCTTCCTGAAGATCAGCTCCTGGACTTACCATGGCAACAAACTTGACCTCCAGCATCTGTGCAATGGCAGCCTCATCAACTTGCCCGTGGACCTGGAACAGGCGGAGATGATCATTCCTGGCGGCATCGACCTCACCGACTACTACTACAACGTGGAGTGGGACATTCTCAACGTGACCGCCATGAAGCGAGTTAAGTTTTATCCCTGTTGCCCGGAGCCCTATCCAGACATCACGTTCAACATCACGCTGAGGCGGCGAACGCTCTTCTACACGCTCAACCTCATCATGCCGTGTGTGTCCAACTCCTGTCTGACCGTCCTGGTGGTTTACCTGCCGGCCGACTCTGGAGAGAAAATCACTTTGTCCATCTCCATTCTCCTGGCGTTGACCGTATTCTTCTTGCTGCTGTCCGACATGAACCCGCCCACCTCGCTGGTCATCCCGCTCATTGACAAATATTTATTATTTATTATGATTGTAGTGACCTTGTCAATCAGCTTGACCGTGTACACGTTACACATCAACTTCAAGTCTCCCACAACCGATGAGATATCGCCCTGGGTTCGTCGCATATTTATCGACATTCTCCCACGTTTGCTGCTGATGACGAAACCCCAGTTCCCAGCAGGGTCGGACGTTTCTTTAAGTTCCGTCAACGGGCTGAACCTGAGCCGGTCGCAGACATCAGGGCAACAACAGGTCAAAGATGGCCCACAGTGGCGGGAGCTAGCCCAGGGTGTCAATGACAGCCCCTGTCAGCAGCTGTACCCTCCGGATATAGGCGAGGCCATCAGGGGGGTCACATTTATAGCCAACCATCTTCGCAAAGGCGACAAGCAAGTGGAGGTAAGTGACCCCGATAGTCAAATCATTCTCTGAGGAATCTGGTCATGAAATATTTTTTTTAGCTAGGATTGCCCTGAGAATGCGGACTATGTGTGGCACAGTCGTGCCTATACATCCCCCAAGAAATAGATGTGCCTAATTCGGCCAAGTTGAATGAATATAGTTCGTAGCTCTCTTCAATCGTACTCAAGAACAAGGCCAGTGATGTAATCAATTACACAAGAGCTGGTTTATTTACAATATTCTCGTCACACAGGCTTCATAAATTCAATAAGCAATAGTATATGAACACTTTATTATCTGGATACAGGCTATTTGTATGACTCTCTACGAGTTCCTTAACCACCTTAACCACTGTTCTGGCTAAACTCCAAGTTTAACATATACCTTCTAAACGAAGTAAAGCACTAGTTTTCTCCTAACCGGTCTTTCCATCGGTTCAGCCCTAACCTGTCCTATCAAGCGGTTCCGTGGCTAACTCACTGTTCTAGTTAAACTCCAAGTTTAACATATCCTTCTAAACGAAGTACAGCACTGGTGTTCTCAACTGGTCTCTCAAGCTGTCTGGTCCTAACTAGCTTCTCAAGCCCCTGGCTCCGACTTTATTCTCCCGCTTTCCCGCTCTTTCTGGCGTACCTTCTTAATCACTCCCCTGTCGCCTGTCTTTGGTGGTCACGTTTGGATGAACGTCTCTCTTCAGCTGGTCACAGCTCACGGGCACTCGTCAAATGTTTCATCCCTCACTGTCAGATGTCATGGTGGTTATCATGAAGATGTTCTGCATAGTTGGCTAGGCCATGGCTTTCTAATCACCCATTTCTGTCATTTCACACAGTGATGGATTAGTACGCCGTGTGGTGGTCTGAAATGTATGCTTTGTTCATTTAACCCCTTTCTGCCTATATTTCATTACATATGTGCGTACTGCACGTATGTTTGTAGGTTTGGCTGTTCGGGAAACGGTCTGCACGTGTGTTTGTATTGTTCTAGAAGCGAAAGCCCTAAAACTAGAGAAATATAAAAACAAGAGTTCGTTAATCAGGGACTAGAAATAGGTATATTCTAGCCTAGACATGAGATTTTGTGTTTAGTCTAGATAGCAGTAACAGTAAACTAGGCACACTAACCACGAGTTCTAATCTGAATCCAAACAACTAGAACTATCATGGGGTTCTCCAGCCTATAACATAACACCACCTAAACAAATGAACCGTACTGTAAAAAAATTATATATATCTGTCCCGGGGCATTCCATGTCCATACTTAGGACAACGAACGACCAGGTACAGAAAACAGAACTACATTTTCTCGATCCACTACCGCGATCAGAATAGTTAATAACACGTGGGCCAACCAGAACGCTCAGAGCAACCTGCCAGTGGAAGGCAGAAAGCCAAAATGAAGCCGTTTCCCAGGCCCTTTGTGTTTTTATTGCTCCCTAACCAGGTTTCTTCGCGTTGCCGTTGCGTTGCCATAGCAGTTCTATGGCCTTACTCAGTGGGTTCGACTGCTAATGGAACAGACTTCACGTGTGCCTGTAGGTTTGTCTGTTGAGGGAACATACTACACGTATGCATGTAGGTTTGTCTGTTGAGGGAACGGTCAACACGTGTGTTTGTAGGATTGTCTGTTGAGGGAACAGACTAAACGTGTGCCTGTAGGTTTGTCTGTTGAGGGAACAGACTACACGTGTGCCCGTAGGTTTGTCTGTTAAGGGAACGGTCTACACGTGTCCCTGTATGTTTGTCTGTTGAGGGAACGGTCTACACGTGTCCCTGTATGTTTGTACAGGGAACGGTCTACACGTGTGCCTGTAGGTTTGTCTGTTGAGGGAACAGACTACACGTGTGCCTGTAGGTTTGTCTGTTGAGGGAACGGTCTACACGTGTGCCTGTAGGTTTTCTGTTGAGGGAACCGACTACACGTGTGCCTGTAGGTTTGTCTGTTGAGGGAACAGACTTTACGTGTGCCTGTATGTTTTTCTGTACAGGGAACTGGCTAAACGTGTGCCTGTAGGTTTGTCTGTACAGGGAACTGGCAAAATGAAATCCGCAGCTCACAGTGTCACGCCATGTAATCAACTCAGAAGCTGAGCAACGAAACTATATACTTCCAGTCTACAAATGGAGCAAAAAAGCAAGGCCACAGTTTGGCAGAAGCAAAAATGGATGCCTCGGCTCAAAACAGTGGCAGTGCCTAGTGTTCATTTGGACCTGAAGCATTATGTGAGGGTTAATAAACTGTCACCCTAGTAGTGTCGCGCGCCCACGTGGGTAAATACACTGAAATAGTGAGGGTGTGGGTTTGAACCTTAACAATGCCCACCCACGTGAGAAACTGGACTATTATCTAAGCTATGTTGATCCTAGACAGTCCTGGATAGCCAAGAAAACAGCGAGTGGCTCGTTCCATGAAATGAAAGTTGCTGTACTTGTATCCACAGGAGTAGGAGAAGGGATAGATAGATATCTGGATAAACCCACTGTGATATAATCCAGGTGCTCAGTTAACCCCTGCGACTGGTCTCCTCTCCTGGCATTGCTTAAAAGCCCCCATCAAGTGATTTCAATATTTGTTAGCTGAAGTAAACTAATATGCACAAAGACACTTGAACCTAAGTACACAATTTACTCAACTTTGTTTAAACAACATCAAAAAGATTTATTTAATAAATCGAAATTAAAATAAAATGAACTTGTTTAGGCTAGTAGAGTTGGAATGGTGTGAATGATGACAGTTTGTACATATACTTAACTCCTAGTAGGAGAATTCACCGTCAGGACAGTTCTCGGCTTGAGACCCTGCCTATCTTTTCCAGTTTGTCGTCCTCACTGCTTTCTGCAGGTCGTTACACTCGACGGTCGGCAAATAATGGATGCCTACTAGTCCCTGCCCAATGTGGGAACTGGAGAATGAAGAAACAAGCGCATATTTGTAGTATCTGCTCTAGATGTACACTAAGCATGTATATTATACTAACATCAAGCATGTTTATTTAAATAAAACATTTCATCTCTCCCTCATGCTCACATTCACTCCTGTCCAATTTGGAAGGGCTTATGTCTCACATTCCAACTGTTACATCTTCTGCCTTCCTCTACACGTCCTGTAATGATAGTCAAGTCTTCTACGTCAGGTGCCATCTCTCGTACAGACTCAAAATGACAATCAGTCAGACAGAACCAGTTCTGGAATCTATGCTTGGAACAATCGACGCGCCCAGAATGCTAACAATAGTTCTGGTGCGAATCAAATAACAAATCTCGTGGATTTACTCTCCGGGATCAATCTCCGCATTAGCCTCCCGAGAGTTAAACACATTTCAGTGTGTTAGCTGTATGTAATACAGATTCACATTAACCACACGTAAAAATATTGCCGAAGTTATCTTCACGCTTGTGATTTCAAAAACATGATAGTTCATTAAATTTCAATGGCAACAACAACATTTAGGTTTTACAACATTGAAACACATGTGCACGAAAAACATTCATGACACTATCAAATAGGAAATAAAGCAATGTGACAGTGCCCTACGAGAATGAAGAAACGTCCGCCTAGGAGTACTACAAAGTAATGAAGACACACTTGAGCAAAAACAGTTAGATTTCTATCACAAAATATAGATTTGAACCTAATTTCGATCTTACCTGGAAAAATGAAACCACGATGCCAAAAGTTCTGTCTCAAGCTTAGGTTAAGCCCAACAGATGGCATGTGCTAGACAGGATCTCATTTACCAGACCTAGAGTTCACCCCTTTATAACTTTTATCAAGCTCCTCCTACATTACGCCTAAAATCATTCTCCTTCAAGGATATCACAGCTCCTCCCTGTGGGCAAGTTTATTCGCTGTCAGTCAGGGCTGTACAACACTTGTTCAAATTCCCACGCTAGGATCTCCTGGTCTATTCATCTGACCAGAGCAAATAAGACAAGTCACACCTCCAGTCTACTTCACCTGTCATCACAATAAAATCCGACTTTGTCAATTCTTCTGCCAACACTTTCCGCTCACTGTGTCAATAGTGACCGTCGGACCTGCCGTCGAGTTAGGTAACCTCAGGGGGAATTAAACACAATTAGCCGGAGTTAGCTGCTCCTAAAAGTCTGGCTAGGAGATAAAATATCTGACACCAACAGATGGTGTGCAAATCTCCAGTCAGTAAGTCTGCTTGGTCAGTCTTATCTCTGTACCTCAACACTTAACGTCTGGGAAAAAGTTTTAGTGTGTGATATCGCCAACATCCCAGGAGAATTAAATGCTTGTTTATTTCGCCTACTTAGATTAAGGATGTATCCAAATCCCTATTTTCCTGTATACTTTCAAAATACAAAGAAATAAAAGTAGGTTGAGGAAAGACTTTCTGAAGTCACCGAGCGTATTGTCACAGAGCCTCCCCCTTAAGTTCGGTCACCCTGACCGCACATCAGCACGCTCTGTGGCTTCCAAGAATTTCAAGTCCTCCTTTGCATAACTGCCCATAAGTTTTCTGTTTCCAGTATTCTTTATGGCAGTGGGAATTCCTGCACTCTTCTGCAGACGTCCCGTGTCCTTTCATCCAGGATAATTCAATACTGTCATTGATCCTGGTAATGAGCGGGTATTCCAAGCAGTCGCTCGGTAATGTTTCTTTGTCCGGAGGTTCCTCTTTCCATCGGATAATCAAAGATCCACGCTTTGTCAACGGGACAAAGTATTTTCTTCTTCGATAATGGCAAACACTTCTGTCTGTCCATTATCGACGTGCACAGGCCTAGCAGAATTGTCCTGTTTATGTCGAGTCTCTAAGATCGTCAAGACGTCCAGAGAACTCTCCTCCTCATCTGCTATATTCACATTGGACTGGCTTTCATATGCCAAGTCCAGTGAAAGCAAATCAGGAGGTGTGTTGCCGCCATCGCAGTCAACTCCTTTGGGTGTAAAGTCAGAACTAACACATTTCATTAGGCATGCGGCCGCATCCAAGGAAATAGGGGACACAGGTTCAGCGTTATTCC